GTATTTCAACGCATTGAAATACATCATTATGTTGTTTTCCCTGCAGTGGTACCGTTCTTGTGAGTAAAAGAGTTTTACACTAAAAGTACTTTTTTCCCCACAATCAGTGAGTGTATCACTGCAGAGAAAACTAAAGGAATCTATAATTTAATTTGATACATTAATTTAGGGCCCTTTTTATTTACTTTTTTTTAAAAAATTGAAACATAAACACACAATTTAGATTTTCATAAAATGTTTTATATAAATCTTAGAAATTCCTTGAAAAAAATAAATAATTCAAATGATAAGACTTTTAACCAACTTGCAACATTAAAAATACAGATGATAACATTTTACCAAAATAACACTTCTTACGAACAAAATTAAAACCTAAAAACTTCATTTGGAAATTAGAATTTTCAAAAAAACAAGTGCAAACCTTGAAATTTGTTTTCAGAAATTACCATTATTAAATTTGCTAATAGCTACGAACATTTTTCTATGCAGCAAAAATTTCCGAAGAATGTAGTAAAAGTTAATTTTCATTAAAGAATAAATTCATGATTACTACATTAGCATACATGTGCTAATGAATGAATAACACATGAACTATTCATGTCTTTTTGTGTCAACAGCCACACGAACACTCCTTTCAATCTTTATACATGAAGTAATAAATTTCCCCATCGCAGCTATAAATATTTTTACAGAAGGTTTACTTAACTAATTACACCGGTAACACAAGCAATACTAACAAAATTATGATAAAAATACTACTATAATTATAATAAAATAAACATACAGGATAATAGTTTTGTATTGATTTTGTTATTATTAATTTTTAATGCCAAAAGCTATGATTTCCAAACCAAAATTTCTATAATTTTACAATGTGTATTTCCTTTTTTTTTGGAAGAAAATTTTAATATTTAAGATATCCGACTACGTTCGGAACCGTGATTGTACAAAAGCATATAAATGGATGATTTTTATGATATTTAGTGTCACTTAGATTAGAAAACGAATATATATAATTGTTTTAAAAATATTATCACAATAAAAAATTATTTAAGTATAATAATTTGACAAAAAAATGAACATAGAAGGATCAATTTTCAAAACATTCTCCTTTTGTGAAAAATTTTTTCTATAATAGTAATATTTTGCCTGTCTATAGCTCAGACCTCTGTACAGAGGCTCAACTAGAATTTTTGAAATATATAACTTAGAAGTGGATTTATCCTTATTTTACTACCACAGAGGGGAGAAATTTTAAGAAAAAAACGCCGATAATTAATTCAATTTGGTAGTAACTCTGAAAATAATGGGAATTTTTCGAAAATCCTAGTTCAGACTCTCTGGAGATGTCTGTACTTTATATAAGCAAAATATTATGAATATAGAAGCATTTTTATAAAAGGAGAACGTTTTGAAAAATGATTATTCTAAGTTAATTTTTTCGCCAAAATATTGTATTTAAATAAGTCTTTTTTAGTCATAATGTTCTTAGAACCATTTTATACATGTATTCTAATCTAAGAGACACTAAATATCATGAAAATTATCCATTCATGCACTTTTTTAAAATCACGGTTCCGAACATAGTCGGAAACCTTAACATAATTCTATGCTTGTAAAAATTTGATTTTTAAATATGTAGATAAATATTTTTACATATATTTATTTAAAATAGATTGCAGTTAAAACTTGAACGTAGTTCATATCCAGGGTAGTATTTTTACTATTCTAATTTATCTATAAACAATAGTTACTTATTATACATAAATTCGTTAGCATTTTTTTTTTAGTTGAACTTCATGCATCATATTGTTTTTCCTTCAGAAAATCAGATAATAAGGAATTAAACTAAAATTAAAATAAGCAAAACATCATTTTGGCTGCTTTTTAAACCTATATGCAATATTCTTTTGAAAACCATGATATTATACACCTCTCCTCACAAAAAGTATTAAATGTTTGCTTTTCACAAATACAATTTCACAACATTTTGATTAACAACCCATTGTTTACATTCGATAGCAAAATTTTGCTAGAATTATAGACAAACACATTATGCAAATCCAAATGTGCGATTCCTATTGATTTCGAATCTTTGAAGAAAAACTCTTCAAGAAGAGGAGAGATTCTTATTACGAAGACAATATTTTTATCAACTAGTGAGCACTGAAATTTATGCAAGAACCCTTTAAAATAATGATGGAATCGTTGCTAAACTACATACATTCTTCAAGATGTATTTGAAATTTTTATCCTACGAAATGTAAAAGCAATATTTCTTTTCAATATGGTTTAGATCAGAGCTCGCGAAATAGAACTTTTCATATTTTTAGTTTCAAATATAGCATAAATTTTAGCTGAAATAACTTTTGATGTATTTGTGCTATACAAATATTATTTAATTTGTATTGTTTTATCATGATTACTTTTATATTTTCTAAGTGATTTTTTAATCTTAGACCATTTTATAAAATAAGTAATAAACATTTTAAAGTCGTACAACTACTTATGGTACGGAATTTATTCAATCGAACTTAAAAAAATAATTTACGAAGGGAAACTATTTATTATTTGTTAGGCAATAATAATGCCAAAAATTCCAAGAGAATCAGGAATTTCAAAGCTAACAAAACCTTATTTGAAGCCATTACTGTATAGTTCTAAAATACTGATACAAAAATTTCAGACTTTGTTTGCTTCAATGCCGGAGAGGAAATTAGGATATAAAGATCGTTTGAAAACCAAGATAGATTACTTTTTCAATAACAGAAAGTGAATAAAAGTTACTCTGGTAACATACTTAACGACGAATATGACGAAAAAATGTATGCATTTTGAAATATCCCCATAGTTCTAAAATAACAGTTTAAGTAACTTCTAGAAGGATTTCGTTTTCTGGATAAGAACCACGTAGGGAGCAAAATTGGAGTCAATCATTTGACAGCGACTATGCGTTTCACTTACTTTATACGAAATTGTGATTAAGGATTTGAAATGCAGTGCTTAAAATTTTTGTGACTTTCGAATCTATGCTATTGTAGATTTACACATGTGTGTTTTTTTCTTCTTGTAAGAAGGAAATTTACTGTAGCTATTTAAAAGAGTTCCAAAATAAAATAAGATTTAATCCAAAAGAATTGAAGTCTTAATTCGTTGATCGTTCCTTAATTTGAAAGATGATCAACCAAGTAACATTACATAAATATTTAAATGATTATAAAATAGTAAAATTCGAAGAAAGAATAAAAGACTTTTACTGAAATTAGTAATTTTTGTTCATTTTCTCTTCATTTTTAAATCTGGTACGCTATCGAACATTCTTACAAAACATTAAATTCATCCAATCAAAAAAAAAACCTCAAGTACTACGATAAAATTTGTAAAAAAAATATGTTAAACTAAATCTAATCCTTCAAATTTTTGCTAAAAATTAACCCATTTATGTCTAGCGTTCCATTTTTGGGATTGCAGTCAAGTGGAATTTTTTTGTGGCTTAGGAGTACAAGATTGCATTTGTGGTTGGATTTGTGACTTTAACCTGCTTCGTAGGGGCATAGCAATTTCGTTTAAAACATTCAGTAGTCACTCCTGCAGATATTTGCCTGCAAAGAGAATCTGAACGTTGGTTTATATTTCAACCAGGCATAAATGGGATAATTAGGTTTATTTACACTTATTAAACGCGCATGTTAAAATGTAGAGTTTGACTTATATTTGAAAAAATATTTTCATGAAAATTTTATTTTTAAACAAAATTTTTATTTTATAAAAAAATTGTTATCGTTTTTTAAACAATTATCATTTGAGTATTGAACGAATTAGATAAATAGAAATTAAAAGTAATAGTTAATTTTAAAAACATTTCACTAATTCAATTACTTAAGAAAACTTTGCCATCGAAGTTTCACTATTCAGTTGCTGTAACTTACATTAGTTTTGATTGCGGAAATCAATTTACTTTAAATGGGAATTTGAGAAGTTAAACTCACTGCTCAGTGAATAATCTCTTAACTGGCTAAGTATTCAATTTATCACACCATATAAGCTTTCATATCACTTTTCTCGGTCTTTCTCATTACATATTCCACGAATACTTTCAATTGATTAATGTTACCGTGATAAATATAAGCCTTATCAAAGTAAAATAATTTAAATTCAAGAGCTGGAATATAAGTCATCCATAGAATTAATCACATTCCCAGCCACTTTTTGAAATTACAAGACCAGTTTGATTTTAGAATTCGCGGATAAACGAAGGCCCTAATTATAATTTAAACACACGAAATATAAACAGATTTTAATAATTTTACACTGCAATCAATGATTAAGATAACAAAAATATTAGAAACATATCAGAGAACCGTCATATATATACAAGAGATGGACAAATAGGGACCCCCAAGACAGTCAAAAAATCAAAGAGAAAGAAAATGTTATCTATATTTGGGTCAACATATATTTACGAGCCAAGTTTTCTTGAATGAAGATTCACAAAAGTATATATAGCTGCAAATTGATTGACATTAACTCGCAAGTTGTGAGGAGAACTTCAACAAGCAATTTCATTCCTAATTTCAAAAATATTTATAGTAGAAAAGTATAATAGGGCACATTTGTCTCAATAAAATAAATTATGTTTTAAATTTTTTAAAAAATGAAATTGCGATACATTAATCTTGAAAATATTACCTAAAGTTTAAAAAAATTAATTTTGTTTGAAAAAAAATGTGGGTAAAACAGTTATAGTTGATTGCGTGAAAAAGAAACAAGTAATATAATTTTTTTAAGTCAATTCCTACTTAGGTCAACAAAGAAAAATTTTATTTTAGTTACTTCTTATTAAATAATTACAATTAATTTAAATATTTATATACATATGATACAATTGCAATATTAAGTGGCAAAATAGAAAGAGAATTTCATTTTATATATGGTGTTGGACCATTATTTTTGTTTGTTACTATTTATTCATTTATAAATCATATTCTCAGCAATTAGGCCATCACAGATAGGATTCGAACCCACGACCTTTGGATTAGAAGCCCAACGCGCTATCCATTGCGCTACAGGGACACAACGAGCGATTTTCCTTTTTATATAGGATGTTGGACTATTATTTTTGTTTATTACTATTTATTCATTAATTAAATATAATTATGAATCAATATTTGAAAAATCTGTATTAAGAGTAAGTGTGTCATCCACTACAAGTTTTAAAAAAGTATTTGAACTTGAATGGATGAATAAAAAATTATTTTATTAACAATTGAAAATTTGAACAAATATATATATATATATATATACAGAGAGAGAGAGGAAGAGGGAGAGTGAACTAATAGTAGGAACTGAAAAAAAGTGAATATTCTGAATAAAAATAATCAGTTAAAAAATTTTGAACATTTAAAATCGTTAAAATGATAAATCTAACAATGTGTTATAAGGAATTTCTAGCCAAACAATTTGATATTTTTAAATAATACAGTTTCCTATTATTGTTTACAGTAAAATATATATATGCAAATCCCTTTTTTGTGCAACTACTGCATTTGGTTAAAAATGTTAATATGTGTGTGTTTTTTTCATTTATCTGATTTTTTTAATTTATCGTAAATAGGGAATAGTAGAAGTTAGAAAGAAAAATAAACAAGCGGAAAAGGGTATTAGAAAATAAATATAAAAATTTATTTTCTTGTAAATTCCCTAAACACAAAACATATTGTTCGATTGCCTCAAAAGATATCTTGGTCTCCTTTTTGATTTTTATCTATTTACTTTAACAGTCATCGGAGATTTAAATGACTTCCAAACTTCAACATCCAACAAACAAGTGTTCCGTAAGAGTACGTAAATAATAAAACACAAACAGACTGCCTCAAATTCAACTTCTGCCACCAAACTGATGTTTCACCAGAAACCATGCAATGTTTCATCACAAACTTCTCTTTTTTCACATCGGTTGCTGGCATTTCCATTGATATATAAATTTAGAATTCTATCCCGAACTTTGAAACAAACACTTCTTAACGCAGTCCTTCAATGCATTCCAAACTTCAACAACATCGAGTGTTACCAGACTCGACCGAAAGGCGTTTGTGAAATAATGACATTCTCTAAACCTGGATGAATACTTTAAGCATCAGCTGTAAGTGTGATAAACAGACCAGAGAAACAACAATTTGAGAATTCAGTACGACTTCATGTTTAAATAATGTACGCCTTTCGCAACCATTCTACCAACGTATCGATAAAATAGTAACAAAGGGAATATCCATGTTGAAGGCGTTTCGATTTGAATGGACCTAAAACACGGTCCATTAGGTATTCAGAATACAGAATTTGATCAAATATATGAATCTCATCACAAATTCAAATGATTTCATCCAAGTATGTTACACCCGAAAGGCAGTTCTAAAGGAATCTTTGGAACTGTAAAAGTAAATTCGTTTTGGCGTAACAGTTTCCAATGGTAAGCGAATTTATGGGTTTCGACAATGGAAGAAAGTTAACGATAGAAATCCAGACAAGGTTCAAATATAAATTTTATATTGAAAGGCATTCATTTTTCATAAATGGGAATTATGAATTAATCGAGTAAATAAGGCATAGTGCGTAACATTTTGATTTGCAAGTGATTCAGCGTTTCAATAAATGTGTGATTACGCCAATTTGTATGTGACATATCGATAAATCTATCTCTGTAAGTGGTAAATTAAAATTCCGACTCTTAGCATCCCAAATAAAATAATTACAGTGAAAAAAATTACCTACGACCTATAATATTGGTATACATTGATTGTTTTGCTTAATTAGCATTAGATTAGAGTTTTACAACCAATTTACAATAAATCCAGACCAATTTAACAATAATAAAGATCGGCTGAATCAATAAAGCTCTGAAGCTACACAAGGTCATTCATGAACTGACGGTCCTTGGGATCCTGAAATAAGTGATGGTGACATATCAATTGCTACTACGCTCTCATAGCTTCATCAACAAGTCCCACCAGAATTTTGTGAAATATCATCAGATCAAAAAAGATCATCTCTAGTGTGTAATTACATGTCAAAATAATCTAAAACTTTGAATTGAGCGTCATCTGTTATAAAAAACCTCACTAATTAAAAAAAATTATTTGGTAGAGTCAAATCATGAACCCTAGACACGCCAGATACAAAAAATTAAATGGTGCCTTGATCATACATTCTATCAGTGGTCATCTGTTCAGATTCGGGTAGATTATTTGAATCCTTATAGTGAAATAACAAATTTATTTCCATAACTTAGTACAATTTTAAAAACCTTTTTAGTCAGACTTAAGTCAGTAAGTGCTGCAAATTGATCAATATTTATTTTGTCAGGGACTGTGTTTTATTTGATCCCGGATTTGAATTGCTGTGTTCAATATTTGTATGATTTTTTTAATCTGTGCTATTATATAGATTTGTACGTATATGTGTATTTGCTTCCAAAAAGAAAATCCACTGTAATTACTAAAAAAATCCGCAATAAAATTCGATTTATTCCAAAAGAATTTGATGTTTTTTTTAAATCAGTAAAAATCACTCATTTGAAAAACAACCAGCCTCTTAATTTACATGCATGCATAACAAAGAATATATCGATAAAGGGACTAAAACAATACATCCACTGTTAGCTAATAAATGAAAAACTCTATTTTAACCAGTAACTTGAATATGAAAAAGAAAGACCACAATCTGTTGTTCATCTTTCCTTTTAGTACTACGCGATAAGCAGTAAAATGATCTTCCTCCTTGCTATAAAACAATCTATCGACGAAAATTCCTCCTTTACTCGTCTATCTAACTCGTTCTAAAAAAGGTGAACGTCTTTCTGATTCTACAAAAAGATGATCACTCACAGAGACAAGAGTTTTGGCATTGGATAAAAATAAAAACCGGTACAACGAAACCAACGAACGAAAAAGAAAGACAATCAGCAAGAAAATGCTTGTAGTTACACTGGATATTTTACAATAAATTTCAGGTTATTTGTACTCATATTGATAACTTACTGAAAAAACGTGCTCTTCTATCTTTCGATTATATATTTCAGCTATCATTGAAAAGTTCCAAGATCTTGAAGAAAAAAATGCTCAAATGTGAATTACAATATAAATGAAACAAAAGTTAAGATTTATTAAAGTGAAAACAAACATAAATATTTCAATGTAATATTATTTTTTTAATTAAATTTTATAAATATGTAAGAATCAATAAAATAGCTAATATTATAGAATTTTATGCTTTTTTAAAGAATTTTAATGCTATGCACTTAAAACAAAAAGTTATATATTCAATATATAAATTATAAATCATGGGCTTTTTCCCCAATAAAAGGGGTGTGCAGTTACTTTATAAATAACACTTAGAAATATTTTTAAAAATACAGAAATATTTTTATCATTAACAATAAATTAATAATAGCCCCGTGCTTACTTCAGAAACCAGATTGATTTAAAGAATTCTTCAGCGCCATACACACAATTTAGCAATTCAGCGGAACTAATGGACCAACTAGAGTTCAACAGAATCATCTCAATACTTTCACTAACTAGAAAAGTTTTTTTAAATCACATTTTAAGTATACGTATCTTTTACACTTCAAATATATCATAAAATTTTCGAATATTAAAAGTGCTAATGTACCTTATTTAAAGAACTGAACAGTATAGCATTAAAACTTTTATAACAATTTGGTTTGAAGATTAAATAAACTAATGGAAAAGCTAATTCGGTAAATAATTACTTGATCACGAAGGAGATTGACATTTATCTGTGCAGATGTAAGTTTTACAGCTTTGAGACAGTTCCAGTTTCAGACTTTTCAAAGATCCATTAGTAAATGAAGGAATTGAAATTTAAAGGGTTATAATGAATTAAAAGGGACCATGAAAAAGTATTCAAAAGCAACCGTTATATTTTTGTAACAAAATTAGGAAAAGCATAACAGCCTGATTTATTCTAGTACATAATAAATGAAACATCTTTCTTCACAAAACATGCAAAATTTAGATTAAAATGAATACCACTACAAGTATTAAATATTATGATGCAGCTTTTGTGAAGTTTCTAAGCTTGTCCACACTCAAAATCTAAACTCTTCTGAAGACGCAGAAATGTTTGAACTTTCTACTGACAAGCACTATTTGCTGTAATACGTAAATGACGAACATTTATTCCACACACAAACTAGAGGTTCTCAAACCTTTATTATTCAACTTAGTTCTTGTCATTACGGGAAAGGTTTCAATGAGCCCCTTTTAAATAGATAACACTTATCTCGTAAATTTCATATTGTTTACAAAAGTGTACATGTCCATTCAGGATAGGTTCTCCAGGAGTGTCCACCATGATTGCCTCTTTTGTTTATTTAAGTAGCAATTAATGAATTTGGAATGAGTTGGATTCTATAACAGAACTCATTCTTATTCATCGTCAATTTGAAGAATTAATTTTTGCCACTGTTTTGGTTAGAAATACCATTAATATTTTGGCTATTGTCTCAAACTCAATACAGAGAAACAAGCTACAGGCGTAATTAGAAACCACACTTCCTACGTCACTAAGAGTGGAGATATGGCTTAAATATATACAGCGTGTCTACAAATTAGTTGGGCAAAAATAATGATGTAGTTGATGTAATTTATAATATACATTGTTGTAAGATAGAGAAATAGTCCAAGTTTACCATTATCACAAATGTTTGATTGGCTTCCTTTAAATGTTCCATCGGTAAATCAGTACTTAACACAGATTCGTTATCATTAGGGTTTGCAATCCCGTGTTATATTTTCAATCCTGGGATTAGGATTGAACTATTTATGAAAAATACTTAAAACATTAGCATATATATATAAATAATATATAATATATATAAAACATTATATATATATATATATATGTATATAAATATATATATATATATATATATATATATATATATATATATATATATATATATATATATATATATATATATATTGGATCCATAAAGCATCGGTAACCCTAAATCGCTAGCCTAATTCAGCGACAGTTTTAGAAATCATAATAGG